TACGTTACATGCACCGAATCTCCCAGTCCTCGATGCAGGCTCTAGCAGAGATGTTACAGCTGCTGGTTTAAAAGTTCTTGTTGCACATCCTAGCATCAGGATGGGTTCACAGGTCTTCCGGGCTCTTCGATCCCTGCAGTGCTGCCTCTGGGATGAAGAGCTGAGCTGAGAACAAAATGGCATCGACCACATGGCCTCTTTATACCTCCTTCCTGGCCTCTTCTAGTATGTAGCAGGTCACCTGGACAGAGGCCAATCTCTGTGTTCCCTGCTGGCTGCTCTCAGGAGACAGCCCCCATTCTTTGGGTGTGTCCATAGCCCATTGAGAGCCATTGTCCCACAGAGCCTCGGTAATTAGCATGTCCACAGGCCCGGCCCTGCCCAATGCTTAACCACATGCAGGGAAATCTTCAGTGTCCATACAAGTACATGCTAATAATTGCACACACAGACATTATACAAACACATGAACAGCGTACATAGGATTATCAGATAATAAGCTTCTATTCAATACCTCACATGGCCCCCTTCTATACCATTTTTGGGGCCAACACCCCCACCTATGGGTGCATCAGTGATCTGGCTGCTCCCTTCAAGATCCAGCAACGTGACAGCCTGACTTTCTCCTTTCCCATTGGCAGAACACAGGCCCTGCTGTGTGTGGACATACTAGACCCTGGCCTAGGTGAAATCCCAATCAGCCTGCAGCTTGCTGCTCTCAGCCTCACTCTGGTTAGTCAACTCCGAGCCCCGGATCTACACCCGTTGCGGATTTACATCATGCCAGGCGTGGAGAAGCTCCACTCCAGGAGCAGTCACAAGGTATAAATACCCTGGAGAGACACAGCATCTGTTCAGACTGTGGCACTCACTTGGAAGAGCCCGTGAACAGTTGTGCTAGAGTGGGGCTGGAGGCTGCATCCTAGACCATGCTACAAGAGGGTCCAGAACAATTCAGTTTGGAGCATTAATTGACCACGTGATACACCAGGTTGGTGAGCTACAGCCAGTCGCACGAGGACTGCTGTCTAGCTAACTTTGCAGGAAGTCAGCGCACGCCCCCAGGTTAGTAAACCAGAGAGATAACAACCCATCTGCTTGTCACGGGTCAGTGCAGGCTTGGGAGCCTGACTCCTTATAGCCTAATGAGTAGTAGTGTGAGTCAGTATGTATGTTACAACAGCACCTACGGGCCTCAAACTTGATCAGGGCCCCAGGGTGCTGCATGTTGCCCAGGTGCTCTAGGAGCGTCTGGCAGAGCTGGAGATGTGCTTTCCATCCAGCAGACGCGCCTGTACTCGCTCTGATCAGTGAGCAGGCTGAAAGTAGCTGGGTAGCCACAGTAGGGTGAGCTGCCCAGAGGATGATCTCTTCTAAAACCCTTGGTAAGTACTGGGTGCTCCCACTGCTAAAGCGATGCTCTATTTTTAGTGTGCCTTTGATAAAAGGTAGCCCAGCTAAATCTACCTGAACTGCCAATTATACCTCTGCCAGTTCCAGTATAGATGCACCCACAGCCAGACCATTCCTGGTTGTTGATCTAAACACGGGGTGGAAAAGTGACATTGCCAAGGGAATGTAGAACCTCCCTGGCAGGGCAAAGACTAGACCCCAGGTGTCCTAATTCCCACTTTGGTGCCCTTCCCACCAGCCCCTGCTGCTGCCTGAGGAGGCAGCCTTCCAGTCTAGACACCAGAGACTCTGCTACCAGAACACACAGACAAGTCGCCACCACATTCTTCAATATTTAGGGAGGACAGTCCACATGGGCACTGAACAGAGGGCATTTCCTTTTTGTACATGCTGTCCTCCCATTGCACTGACCTCGTGTGACGTAGTGGGGGTACTTGCTGGGCTGTGGTGACCTCTGCTGTCTGGAGCAAGACCCAGCAGGGAAAACCTCCCTATGCAAAGGTGACTCAAAAACCTGTCTGACCTGCGGCCCCCCCATGGGGAGAAACAAAGGGAGGTGGATGCTGCCCTGGCTGTGGGCAGGGCTGGAAGAGGGGGAGTTAGTTCCTGGCGGGAGGCTGACCACGAATGCTGGGTGCTGATTCTTGGCTCTCCATGGTAGCACCTCTGAAAATCAGGCCCCACTGTAGGTATCTCCAGTTAGACACCCCAATAGAGGCTTCCTATATTAGTATTCAAATATCCTAGCAGGTGGCAGAGCAAAAAATAGACTCTTGGGCTGTGTCTAGACTGGCCAGTTTTTCTGGAAAATCGGCTGCTTTTCCAGAAAAACTTGCCAACTTCTACACTGGCCACTTGAATTTCCGCAAAAGCACTGACTTCCTACTGTAAGAAATCAGTGCTTCTTGCGGAAATACTATTCTGTTCCCGTTCAGGCTAAAGTCCCTTTTGCGCAAAGCTTTGCGCAAAAGGGACTTTAGCCTGAACGGGAACAGAATAGTATTTCCGCAAGAAGCACTGATTTCTTACAGTAGGAAGTCAGTGCTTTTGCGGAAATTCAAGTGGCCAGTGTAGAAGTTGGCAAGTTTTTCTGGAAAAGCAGCCGATTTTCCAGAAAAACTGGCCAGTCTAGACACAGCCCAAGAGTCTATTTTTTGCTCTGCCACCTGCTAGGATATTTGAATACTAATATAGGAAGCCTCTATTGGGGTGTCTAACTGGAGATACCTACAGTGGGGCCTGATTTTCAGAGGTGCTACCATGGAGAGCCAAGAATCAGCACCCAGCATTCGTGGTCAGTTCTGTGCACATTGTCCTTAACCACTTTGTACCTCCATTTCCCCACCTGAACAAAGACAATAATAGGATCCGGGATGTCATGAGAGCTGATGCAGGAATATGTATGGTGTAAATTCCATTGAAGTCCTAAGGTGAGTAATATACATGTGAAGCATTATTATTGCATCTGCAGTTTAGCTTTGTAGTTAGAATCCCACCCAGACTCAGACAAAACTCCTCTGGAGCTCCGTGGAAGTGAAACCTGCGTGAGGATTTCAGGACCAAGCTCTGAGTCTGTGCCCAGACTGGTTACAAGGTGCCCCAGCTGACAGTGGTCACCAGACACCATCCATGCTTGCCACCAGGAACTTTGGCAGGTGAAAGGTGATGTCAGAGCCAGGTGTTTAGGGGTGGGGTAATTACAGAGCCACAACTCTGCTAACGCATTATCTTGCACTGCCTCCTATTGTTCTTAAAGGTGTGTTGTGACATTTGTACTTCCTCATTGCAGAGAGCAAGCGAGCGAGAGAGAGGCTGGAAGCCACAGTGCTGCAGCTGAGCGGCTCTCCTTGCTGATGGTCTCCCAGTGGTCAGATTTCGCCATGGTCTTCTTCACACACATGGGCAGGTGTGCTGGGATACTCATCATTGCCTTTGTATGTGACGTGGCTGGATTGATCATCCTCCTCTTGGGGATTTTTGCCAATCTGGACTATTGGGACTTCTTTATTTACTCAGGAGCACTGCTGCTGGCCTTCAGCCTGGTCTTCTGGATATTCTGGTATTCCTTCAACATCGAGGTCCCCTTTAAAGAACTCCGCTTTTAACTCACCTACAACTGCAGGAGAACATTTGGTAGCAGCTACAGGCTGGAGAAGCAATATTTCAGCGTCTGGGAAATATCTGAAAGCTTTATTCAGCTGAGGAAGAGCTTTAAACCCCTGACAGTGACAGTGTTATTTCCCACGCAGTCTTCCCTCAGGCAACTCTTCCAATGGACAGGTACGTCAGACATTCACAAGGCTGTTTAACAAGAGTCCACTGTGTCTGGCATTATTTCTTGCCAAAGCTACTGGGTGTTCCCACAACTAATGGCACTTAGCCCCCCGAGAGCTATTTTAATCTATAAGATGCTTTAGAATGAATTAACAGCGGGGTGGAAAATGTCTTCTAACATGTCAGCGGGATGGTAGTGAGTCTGGGGTGCAGGAACTCCAAGGCAGACAGAGCGAGAGACAGACCATTTCTACGCCGTGTGTTCTTCACATTGCAAATGCTGGAGCCGAGTCCCCTTCCAACAGCCTGGCTCCTGGATGGCACATGCTGAGTGATTAACCATCCACCAGCAGGTGCAATTTGTGTAAATAAGAAAAGTCAACAAGATGAAGCCAGCTCCAGTGAAAAACCAAATAACAGAAACTGGGAGGTTCCATGGAAATGACATATTGAAATAAATGGGGGGTCACCTCTTTGATAGTAATAACAGCCAAGGAGAACAGCTATAATGAGATGACGAGGATAAATTCAGTGACTCGGTGAATTGCAGGCTGGCCCTGTACACACACAGACTGTAGTTAACTGGTCTGAGCTCACTTATGTGGTGTTTACCGTTGTGAAAGCTTTGGCCATTTGGGAGAGAGATTTCCAAATTCCAATCCACACAATAACAGTTAGAGGTAGAAATAGTAAAAGCTTCCAAGGGGTAGAAAGTGTTTGTGACTCGGATTAAAGAACTCTGTTAGATGGGTAGAAAAGGGTATAACACAAGCCAAAGTCTGGAAATTGCATCTACAGAAATTCAGACTGGAAATGGGGTAGATTTTTAACAGTGAGAGTAATTAACCATTGGAAGAACTTGCTAAGGTGCACGGTGGATTCTTCAGCACTGGCAATTTATAAATCATGATTGGATGTTTTGCCTGGAGACCTGTTCTAGCAATATTTGGCAGGAATGTCTGTCGTTTATGTTAGGAGGTCAGATCAGGTAATCACAATGGTCCCTTCTGGATTTTGAATCTAGGAATCTATCTGATGCACTGTCTCCAAATCCAGGACTTAACAAAACATGCATGATACAGTTTAAGCTCACAAGAATTGTGCTTTGAGTTTATCCTCTTTTAATCGTAGACTTTTCCAAACTACTCCATGTTTATTTAGATGTCTGCCTGATATGCCCAGTGGCTCAATGTATGGTTTTTTTAATTCTCACTTACCTTTTTATTAAATGTTATCTATCTATCTGTCTGTCTATCTGTCTGTCCGTGTGTCTATACATAGAAAGAAAACATACAGAGCACATTTCATATAAATTCATATTATACTAATCACTTACAGCCTAACTTAATTAAAGGTCCATCTAGCCCAGTATCTTGTCTTCCAATAGTAGCCAATGCCAGGTGCCCCACAGGGAATTAACAGAATAGGTAATCATTAAGTGATCTGTCCCTTGTTATCTTTTCCCAGCTTCTGACAAACAGAGGTTAGGTACACCATCCCTGCCCATCTTGGCTAATAGCCATTGATCTATCCTCCATGAATTCATCTAGCTCTTTTTTGAACCCTTTACATTGTCCTCTGGCAAGGATTTCCACAGGTTCACTGTGTGCTGCATGAATAAAAACTTCCTTTTGTTTGCTTTAAACCTGCTACCTATTAATTTAATTGGTGACTGACCCCTAGTTCTGGGGTATCATGGTTGTTCCAGGAGCCCCCATCCTAGCCTAGGTCCCAATGTTGCTAGGTATAGTACAGACAGAACAGAGAGTTGTATTATTGTAGTGGCAACAGAGAGCCCCGTTGTACAGAAACTTGGTGAGTCTCCACCCCACAATCTAAACAGCCTAAACAGACAAAGGGAAACCAGAAGCAAACAACATGCCCAAGATCATGGGTCAGAGTTGGGAACAAAGTCAGGTCTTTTGTGTCCTAGCCATTGGCCCATATTGCCCACCCTGAAGTGTTTACAGATGTTCTCTGACTGAAAATCATTCCCCCAGGCACTCCAGTTCAATGGGATGGTTAAAAAAAATTCAAAATATGTTTCTGCTGCTGAGGTGGGGTTCCTGAGCTGGGCGGGGGAAAGGGGGGTTTCTGAATTGGATGCTATATTATATGGATGCTATAAAGGGCACCGGTACCCACTTGCAGATGTTTTCGCTTTGGTTTGATTCCTTTTCCTTGTAGCTCCCGTGGAAAGCAGCCATGCTGGTCCCCATGTCTGTGGAACAAGGACCATTTGGAAGCCACAATGTAAGTTGTTAGATTTTAATAGCCATGAACTTTGGTATGACGTTGCCACCCAGCAGTCCAATGATTTACTCTATGTCTATGTCATCAAGTTTCAGGAGGTATTTTCACGGGTGTGCTTCCGGGATTGCTTGCTTTGAGCGTTTCCTTGATACAGCTGCAGATAAGGGCCTGTAATTAATGGTAGCTTGACGTTGTTGCTATTTATAAAGCAGGGGACTCCGCCCTATCTTACTCTAGGTGTTTAGTCACGCCCGCTCTGTTTCTTCCATCAGGTGAAGCCTGGCTGAGCACTTTGTTAGCACAGGCCACCACCCAGAGCTATTTACCAGTATAAAGTGTTCCATGTGACCCTGCGCCGACCCCACCCCAGAGGCAGCCTGCTGGGAGCTAACTACACCACCAGGCTGGTGAACTGAGGGGATGCTCTGTGGAGGGACAGGCGCCTTTCCAAATTGCTGGTAGAACAGCTCTTGCTGCCATGTGTCTGTGCCCAACAATAGGTGGCTTGCAGGCTGGCACAAGTCAGTACTAGGTCACCCAGAGCTCAGGAGGATGTGACCAATTGGCCACCAGTTTGTCCAAAGGGCAGCAGACATGTGTAGTCACCTGTGGCCAACCTCTCCTTCAGATGGGGGCGTGTACCTTCCCTAGCTACCTTCTGCCAGCCAGGGTGCAGCACTCAGGAGGTAGACAAAAGGAACAACTACCCAGTGCCGTGAGGCTGTCAGCCAAGGGCAGGACAGCAGCAAGTTGAGGCCACGATGCTGTCACCTTGGGCAGATGAGAGGAGAGGAGGCGGAGACCGGCTCAAGGTCACAGCTTCCCTGTGCCCCTTTGTCATAGGGCACGTCCATGGAAAAATACCCATTTTCTGACCAACTTTAGTAATCAGCAGTAACACGAATGGCACTACTTACATACACACACACACACACACAGAAATTAATCAACATATCCTCCCCAACCCCCGGGAGCTGCACTGTTGGGCACTTAAGAAGTGTATTTAGCGTCACAGAGAGAATTCTAGACTGGCATTTCTGTGCCTGGCTGTAAAACCTCTTCTTTGGGAGGGTAGATAAGTCATAGCTTGCATCCATTCCTTCTTGAATCCTGTGTTGCTCTTAAATCTCAGAACTGCCCCATGATTCCAGTCAACTCTGGGGAGTTACCAATGCTCCCTGTCATTCTCTCTTCCTAGGGTTGCTGTTCAGAAAAGGTCCAAAGAGGAGAATTCTGGGTGACCAAGAAATGAAGGAGATAACGGAGGAACATGTAATCATCTGCACTTCCAGGGGGCATTAGTCTGATCACGAATCCCTAAAAATACAACAAAGAATCATGGATCTGTGTTGAGCACTTCGCAACCTCTCTGAACTTGAGCATTCAAGGAATCCCTCCAACGTGAAATATGCTTGCACATCCCCCGTACTATGGCACGTGCTAGGCACATTGCACTGAAGACTTTCCTCCAACATTGCCATTGCTCCTTGCTCCCTTCAGACCACGGGGCCTGCCAGCTCTCAGCAACCGTGGATGTCTTTGCTGTAACTCCCTTGCCTGGGGAAGACCAGCAGTATTCCAGAGGGCAAGCTGGGACAGGTTTGTAGACCTCAATGTGAAGACTTTGAGTCAAAAGGAGCATGAGTGGCTGAAACTGTTGCCTGTGTTACCTCTGCTGGCCAGATATCTAACCCAGCCAACTCTCTTCTTCTCAAGTCTCTCAATGAACTCTGAGGAAAGGGGCTGTCTGGAGGATGCAATGTGTTTAGCACCGCAGATCTCCTCAAGGAAGCTGAAGCTGGCTGGGCCTGTGCAAGTTCCCTGTGATGCCAACCAGTGAGCAGAGACCCAAAGAAGAGCAGTACGTGGCATCTCCATGTTACTTCCTCACTGGCTTGGCTCTCATTTAAAATATTTT